AGCACTTGAGAGCCCATAAAGCAAACATACAGCATCTCGATAAAATTCATACGGTTCTTCCAGTTTCGAAATTAGCACTAGTACAATACTTTCGCCCACGAAGAATTCAAGCAGTAAAATTCATCTTAGTTTTCGGATTTAGTGCAAGGTGGATACATATTTGGTGGAGATAAAAGAATGAAGCTTTTTGTAAACGTGAAACATCACCACCATAATCTTTTAACCGGAAGGGTGGACTCGAGTACATGTGGCGGCATATACCTCGTATACATGTCTAAGTGGTATCCAGATGACCAGAAGAGAAGTTAGATTGTCCTGGAACATCTTTACGCAATCCCTTGTTAAATCAGGAAGTCATGTACAGGCTGACGGTACAAGTACGTACCAAACCAGAGAAACAAAACAATGCAAGGTCTGCAGTCGCTTGACACCATCAAGAAGACACAAGGGGCGCCAAAACCCAAAGGGGCAAGCAATCAACACCACTGTCATCGATATCTGCTATGCTATCGTAAGCCAGTACTTGGGTATAAAGCGACATGTTCCTCAATTATCAACAAACTGAACATGCGACGTGATTTGTACTGGTCGAAACAATGTTGCAAGCTTGCGAAGAAATCATGCACCGTGACATGGAAAGGCAAAGCTCAAGGAAGGAATAACATCTATCCGTTCGGTCCAACGTCAGCCACTTTACCAGCTATAGCCTATGGCGCATCCAAGGTCGAACTTTCAGTGGAAAGGAGCGAGAAATCGGATTTGCTGATGAGTTATAACAACCCCACCAACAAAATCTTCTGAAACAAGTCAAAGCCACCTCAGCAGAGTGGGAGGGCTCAGAGTGCTCAGAGTATCACAAAAGCAGCACTTTCTATGGGCATGTTAGACCAGTGAGTGAGGCAGGGAGTGCTTCATATTCCCTCGTATGACCAGGAGACCAGGTTGGGTGTCTGATTTATGTCCTAATGTGACAGCTTCCACAAATGTCCAGCCAGGCTACCGCTGCTCTTCTGGTCTACCTTTTTCGTCAAGCAATGGACGTCCAAAATCCCACAAATGGATAAAGGAGCTCTCAAAAGGCCAATTGGTCACCCTCTAGATGCACCTCGCTGAAGGTCAAGAGACCTTCCCAGATCTAATTCAGAACTTGGTCAACACTTTGTTCGCGTCTCTTGGACGCTAACCCTTTTCTCCTCATGTAGATCTGCCATGCATTCCAATCATCTGTCTTGTTTTATGTCTGGCAGTCGAGTGACTGGCACCTCCCGCTTGTAGTCTTGGGTGATCAATATTCAGTATATGCCAAAATATTTGAAGAAGCATAATGTATCCTTGTTCACCGATATTGTCAAGTTTATTCGGCACCGCAGACTCTGCTCTTCTTTTCAGAAAACCGAGTATCTACGGACCTATTACACGAGGTCGATTTTCCTCGTCTTCATTTGCAGGAACCTTTTTCCACCACTTTCGACAGCGAGAAGCTTCCTCATACACATCCATTTCGAATCTGTTTACTTACACTTAATTTTTTCAGATTGTATTTGTATTTTACTCGTCGCCCTCTCCCGTTTGAACTTGCAACAATCAAATGATCATTCTTGCATTATTGAACATTGAACAAAATCTTTGGTAGAAGAAATCTTGCAGAATAAGACAAGTGGACTTTTAGTCGAATTTAGTGTGAAAAACATGAACAGATGTTGTTGGGAGAAGACTTGAAGTGCACATGGTTGTGAGAATTGTTCATTCACTTTCTTTTTTCTTCATTTGACGGTATCGTTTGTCGATTGATGTGTCGGGAAATCCCAAGCGTCAGATATTTGTAAACAAAATCAATCATGAACAGAACGAATATGATGTCAATAAGGAAAGACTTATCTGAAAAGTGAGAGCCCAAACTTTATAAGGAAAAATGAATGAATCAATGAAAGTCCCTTCTCAAAGATAACGACAATATGAGAGAAGCAAGATTTGAATGAATCTTTTCTTCCGACGTAGCACCTAGTTTTATTATATCGCTCGACCCTCTTGTGTACATTGAAAATTTTAATTTACATACACGATAAATTTTTTCAGTTTTTGAAGGGAAAAGCGAAATTCAGTGTTGAGCTTAACCTTTAAAAAGCAGGGTGGAAGCCACAAAGCCAGCTGAAAATCCAAATTTGATAATTTATAATACGCCGAAATTCAGCATTAACAATTCGGTTGTTCACTTATCATTCGAACAGATGCACTTTCACTTAATTCTCGGGTAGAATTCGCGCAAATGGATTACACATAAAAAGATAAGATAATAAATGATAAAAGTATGTCACGGTTTTTAAGGTTGTGAAACAAATTTTCAGGTACACAATCGTCTCGCTTTGTGTCCGGAGCTCTTCCTCACCTTGCGCATACACCGCCGATTCGATGAACACAATCCGATTGCATTTATGTCGTGGCTTCGGATTTGAGCTTTCGGAGCTCAGGGCATTCTGGACACCTTCGTCTCAGAACACATGATCGGATAATGGCTTCGACCGTCCCCTCATGGCCCAAAGTGTAGTGGCAAGGTCATACGAGAAAACGTGGGGTTAGAATACGATGGGCACGAGGAAACAAGCATTTCTAGGCTGAGGGAATGAACTTTCTTAGGTCGGCATATCCCCGTGCATGATTTGCACGTCCTTGCTCGTCTGTCGATTCCCTTCATTCTCCTCTACTCCCCTCCAACGCGAGCCTCGGAGGTATTGTATGATATAGCGACGTTGTTGAGTTGGTTGATATCTTCAGCAGTGCGTATCATCATCTCCGTGAAGATAGAATTCTGACAAAGTCTATGAATGAACAAAGTCGTTCTCTTCATGAACTGAAAGGTCAAATCTCATCATGTCTCGCCTCAAGGGTCTTCAAGACTTGCAATGAATAACAACAGCATCAATGAATGACAACGATAATCCCCATCATTCTCCAATCATCCCTGTGTCTTATTTCCTTTATTTCCAGCGGAGAAGCATCACCGAAAACCAGCATAAAACGCCCATCAATGCTTCTCACCACGCCTCGAATCATGCTCGAGAAAAGGCCGAATATTAATCACATTTCGGCCCGTTCGTGCTTATAATGGAATCTAAAAAACCTCCCACCATTTCCAACATGCGCTTGAAAATCCTTCACTCTTCGTCAATCCAGTGATGAAGACTCACACATTCTAAACGAGGGAGAAGAAATTCTCACGTCCAGAGAAGTAGTAGTAGCAGTAGTAGTACTACATGTGACCCGATCGACAGGTTTCAGAAGGTGCTAGCCAGTGCGAGACGAGACGAGAGTGTGGCAAGTTGAATGCTATGGAGCTCGAATTTTATAAGAAGAGGTAGGGAGAATCTGGAAAGCTAGAGATTTGGTGTCATGATTCGCAAGGTGGTGAATGGGAGGGGGAGGGAGGAGGGGGAGGGGGGAGGGGAGGAGGGCGTCGAGGGCGCATGGTTGGAAAGTCCTTCCCAAAGCGCGTCGTCGACCTGCGCCCGAGGACAGATGCATATGATTTGCGCCATTCGAAGTCCGGCGCCGTACCGCGCAGCCGGTTGTGGGGCCGCAGATTGCTCCTGCGGCTTTTCGCCGCAGCCGCAGCACCAGTCGCCGCAGGGATGTCAGCTTTTCACTTCCCCATGTCTCTCGCGGCCTTCCTTTCAGTCTCCTCCGCTCCTTTGCCCGAGACTTCCCGGACCAGTAACTTAACTTAAACATCAGGTTGGACTTCAAAAGCAATAACTAAGCCTCCAATCTCGAAACTGAAGAGTACCGAGCTTTAAGATGGAATAAGTTGCTGGAGGGTGGTACAGATTTGCCGTGTCTTTGATTAAATAACTTATCCGTTTTGTTTTGCAAGTTTGAAAGTAAAACGAGTTCAGTTCATGATATCGTTTGTTTAGTTTTCTTCATCTCCTGTTTTCGAATGGATGCATATCATCGATAGATGTCTCGATTATTATAGGTTTGCATTATGGTACGATGGTTTTGTCTCAATCTATCAAGACTATCCACATTGCTTCCTATTCCAAGAAATTTCATACGATATTGATTTAGTAATAACTAGTATTCCTGTTTACACTTTTAGTCTCTTAAAGACCTTTGGCACAAAAAAAATATAAAATATATTTATCAAATAGTTGTTATTTTAAACCATTTCATTCATTCAAATTCTTAATATCAAACGTTATCTTATATTTTATTTTGATGCAATTAGATTTATTATGTATCTACAGATATGGAAAATAAATCAAGTTTAAGAAAGTAGATTAAATCAAATTTATGATTATGTTGAAATTAAAATTATAAAACTTAATAATTGATTGTTTATGATTTTTTTAAAACCTATATTCAATTTTCTCTTAAAAACTCAAAATTTAACACACTAGATGTATGCATATATATAGTATATTTTTATGTATTAAAATTATAATCAGATGGAAAATTTTCTTGTGAATATTTTCTACATATTAAATAATTCTAATTTTGAGAGATATAATGATAAAGTTACATTCAATTGTGATACAATAGTTATCATGAATGTTTGTAATAAGATTGATGTAAGAACCTTTTGTTATCATCCATTATGGATTTCTATCAATGAAGATTATTTTACTTCATTGAAAACTTTCAATTCTGACATCAGTCTTATATTTGACATGTTGCAATCATATTTTAAACTCAAAATATTTCACAATTCATACTCTATTACCTGATCTTTTAAATTTGATCAATATTCCTATCAAATGAAATGTATCTGTTATATATTCGATCCCATCAACTACGTATCTATATGTTGCTGAACTTACATGTCATGAGGCACTATGAGCATCTGCAAGAATACAGAGAAAAGAGCCCTTGACATTTATTTGTGAGGTACAAAGGCCAAATACACAGAAACTGATTCCCACCGGTGACCGATAAACGTAAAGAAATAAAGTCATAAATGTTTTTATATATATAGACCCCCTTCCAGCCGACCTTTGCCACCAGGATACACCACTCGATGCTGACCTTTATTTTGATCGACTATGACAGTGGTAGCAGGCGTCAGTCAGTGGCTACGGAACTCGTTATTGGAATGCTTTTAGACTACATAGTGCGTCAACTTTTGGAAAGCATTTTAGAGGTAAGCAGCACTGGAGGTAACGAATTGGATTATGCCGAAACCCGCCACTACCTGAAGGATTTCGTTTTATTTTATTTGGGCTTAGCAATCCTTAACTGGTAAACTGATCCTCTGAGATGCTTCAGGTATCATCATCGACAAAAATGCCCCAATTTCTGAAGGTTTGACACATCAAACAACTAGTTCGTAATTGTCAACATACCGAAGTCATAGTTCAAGACAAACCTCGAGAATGTGTGTCGGCCTTGAGGGAAGTTTGGGCTCGAAGAAGATGGACTAGAAATTGCTCTGAACTTAACAGCGTGAGCTTGTATGTTTCAGTGAACCTCTTCTGCTGCTTCAGGAAGAAGTCTCTGCGACCTTCGTACTCCAGATTCAAAATGACAGTGTAAATTTGACCAGACTGAATTTTTGAAGTGCTAAAACTTTACCGAAGTCTTCGTGCTGTACCAGAAGTATTCGACGGTTTGCAAGGTTCAGTTTCTGCAGACTCTCGCTACGTCAGCAACATCTTGCCGCCCAGTGGATTCGTATTCCTCAGTTGCTTCAGATGGATGAAAGGGTATGGCGAAGATGTAACGTGCTCAGCTCACACTCGAATGCTTACGAGTCTTAAAGATACTCGACGCAGCACTCCGGCATTATTTCTTGAAGGCTCTAGCATGATTGCAGATCCGTCTGTTTCAGCTGTTTCAGGTTGTCAAAATTACTCGCGAGACTCTCCAGCTGGTCAGGCCTGGTCAGCAATTGCTTTTAAGAGCTTGGATGTGACTAGAAGAACCGATCAACCTCTCGAGCTTCGGACTGGCTGGCTATCTTTACCCACCCACCAAAGTGTTTTCTGACTGTTCTCTATAGCTGAGAATGAGGACTGTCCCCGTATTCTCAGTGACTTTCTCCCAGCGGCTTTGTAGTTTGTGAATAGAAACATGGTCAAGACCTCCAACGTTTTAGCAAGCGAAATGTGTCAGGAGATGCCTGCAAATTTGGACGAAACAGAGCAAGTTCTTGAAGGGATTACCATTTGCCAGGAGACTATGGCAGTTCATCGACCTCGAAAGCCTCCAAATGTAGAATCTGTAGGCTTTCAAGCAGGTGCGATCAGGGCAGCTTCTGGTTCGTAAGGGCCTCAGAGGATAGATCGACGAGAGAGGATAATCTTGAAAGACCGTTTCTGTATCACTGCTTCAACTCCTGATAATCACAAGATCGAGTCGTTGCACACTTCGTCTACAGCTGCAGCTAATTTGTACTACAATAGCGCATGTTTTCGCAGGTTTTGTGAGGTCGCCATAGTTTGCCATGGGTAGCTCATTGATGGATAGTGGATCCTTGCCTAGATGTTTAAATCAAAGAGTATGTGATTTCTGAAGACATGGAATTAACGAGCATGACATTCACGTGAATTTTCTGTGTCAGTAAGATGATCGCATAGACATAGATATAGTCTAGCCATTTTCGAGGGGCAGTTTAATTACGTACATCTGGTTCCCAGAATTGATGCAGGATTGATACAGCGTTGCAGTTTCTTGAACGTCAAGCTCATGCATTGCTCCGACATTGCAGATATGAGGTAACTTCGATAACTACAACAGCTCCCATGAGGAAACATTCACAAGCAAATGAGTTCTATTGCAGGGCATGACCTTCGTTGGATGGTGGACTTAAGCGCCAATCTACGCCTAGTAAAACACGAAGTAAAATGAAAGAGGACAGGAATTAATAATGTACAAAGTAGAAGGGTTGCTAAGTCAAGCGATCAAGTTCAAGACGAGGGATGAACAACACGTCCAGATCGCACGATGTGTTCACTGAAGCAAGCACATTCTAACTTGTCTGTTTACAGATGTATAGAGAGATATATCGCCGTGGTTTGTGAGAAGAAGGAAACTCAGAAAATGCGTTTGTGCATCGATGAGCATGAGCTCATCACGTACGTTTCCCAGAGTAATTCCGAACTTTGAAGAGGATTTGCTTCTTCCTGATCGAATAGGCAGTAAGACCTGTTTTGATACAGTTTGTTAAGTTCCTCAAGGGAAATCTAGTCCTGTAACTCTTACAGGCTCTTCATCCAAAACCTGGACTACCCTGCCTGCGGTGAAGGCAATCGGTTGCCGATTCCATTATTCGCGAGGAGTACTCCCGTTTGATTGAAGATACAAAGAGTAACTAAAAAGAAAACAAACATGCTTCTTCGGAGAACATATGATTTGCATCAAGACTGTATCGTGGGAATTAGTAGCAGATCCTCGTGCACTCGCCTCTGGTGCCAAGGTTTCCTCAAAGTCCGTTCTCTCTGCGAAAATCAAAATGTATGTGAGCCGAGTTTTCCGAGGATATATGGTGAAATGAACCCAATGGCATGATACGGAGCGAAGAAAGTATTAAGGAATGAAGAAGTCGGATCGTAAGAGCCATTCGAATTGAAGAGTTGGAGGACAGGCGGAGTGAAGAAAACGCAGGGACCTAGCAGCTGGTTACGTGCAGCAGTAAGTGATGAGCTAGAGGGAACGCAATTCTTCTTCTTTGCACTCGACTTGGAGGATCGGATTGACAGTCCCATGCATTGTGATCAGAACGATTACATCGATGCCTAATTAGATCGGGGTCCGTCCTATCACACCAATTTCGTGAGTTACGCCGCGCCTTCTCCATAATTCAACAATCAAGGATCTACAACTTCTTCACGGCTGCAGACTCTTCCTGCAACGTCGATGTTTCTTCACAAACGAGCTCCACGAGGCGAACCGAATTGCTTGCTGGTACGTGAAGCTTGTCGTGGACCTTCGAGACCATGATTCCATCGTGAGGAGGCGTTTCATGTTAGACAGTCCATCTCCTTCTGCGCGTCTTCTTCCTCAGTACGCCTGTTCTGTTGACGATCTGTCATACTTCAACGCAGACGCCTTCTCATGACCAAACCGCCAACACAGTGGCCACGGAGAATCACCGAGAAATGGCCGGGCGGCCTGCCGCACATTGCAGCAAATTCTGTCACCTCGTATCGATCCATGTGTCCATGTCAGAATTGCACAAATCGAGCAAGATGCGCGTACCAGATACGTCTGTAAGAATCGAGTTCTCTGTCCACAGTGGTGTCGTTGTCGACGTCGATCTATATGCTTCTCTCGATGCCCAAAAATCGCGTTCTCCTCCCATCGAAGCCCGTAAAAGTTTAGAGTCTCGCACTCGGTTTCGACCTCTCATCGTCTGTATGCAGCTCACATACTCCGTCGTCGGATTGCATCGATCAGAAGATTTCCATGTATGCAGTAACAGCAATAGCACCAGCAACAACATACAAATTTCACATACAAATTCCTCGAGGTTATCTATCCACATTTCCATTGCGATCTTAGGCTGGATACATTCAAAACTTTTGTTCTACAGCTTCTGTCGTGATCAGGATTGCCGAGATCACCGAGGAATGCATTTCAGAACGCTTCAGTGGCTACGAGTATCTTTGACTGCGAGTGGGACGGTTATTTTGTACAATCATTCATTCACCTTCTTGACATTATAAGCAAGCAGTTGGTCGTAACAACATCGGATGCTTAGCTTCGTCGAGACAGGCGAGCTCTCTCAAGTCCAGAAGCCCTGGGAAGAAAGAACCTGCAAATTGTTCAGTATGCAGCTCACCATGATCAACATATCAAGGCAGAAACTGTTCCAGTCTCGGATCGATCTCCGAAGAGCACTTGTTCTTTTGATTAGAGGATGAATCCGTGACGCATCTGAGGTTGTATGGAAGCCTGATTTACATCTGTTATTGACCCTAGAAGGTTTTGACGGCTCGTCAGGAACGATCACGTACCTGACATTTTCATATCGTTATTCACACCGTAGAGGAATTTGAAGACATGCCTCAAGATGCTGGAGGTAATCTTCATGCGTAGATGCTGATAAACTTGAGTGAGACCTGCAGATCCGAAAGAAGAAAGGAATCTGAAAGCAAGAGAACGATGCAACGAGGACGAACCGCAGCAATATGTTGATTTGTATTTCGGACCATCACGGCTGCTGCATCGTTTCTCCGAGCTAAAACATGACATGAAAGAGGAATCACGAACTGATGATTTGGTATATCCATGCGTGGCATTGGAGGTGATGGCAGGAAGTCAGACAGAGTTGCAGTACACAACCCCTAAGCCAATGGGCTTTGTACAATGTGTAAGTCAGGAACTTGGCGTTGTAAGAAGTGGGTACCAAGTAATATAGCAAGAAGGATGGCAATACCCCACCACGTCCGATTTGCATGAACCCAAAGGATCAGGATTGGGCTAGCCTGAATACATCACAATGGAAAACATGTAACACTGTTGTATTTGAGGGTATCTGAATTATAGATGTTGCAATGTCTACGTATATATGGAGTTTGGCCATCAACCGTCAGAATTACTTCTAATGCTCCATATGTACGTAGACATGGCTATGTGGTAGAACCTTCAGATAGCACATTAGTTTTCTGATTTTTTCCTTTTGCTTTCATGGCTTCTTAAATTCCTTTACCGTCAAACATTTGGACAATATGCTTTTATTGAATTATTTTGTTCAAACATAGATACTCCAAGTTTCTAAATAACATGTTGAAGGATGTATCATTTCTTATCCGCATATTTAGCGTTTGCTTGATTGATTCTTATGATTTGTGTTGAGTTCCCATTTGTACTTTGTCCGTTGATTACATCCACAGATTTATTATTCTTAAGCTACTTCTGATGTATCCAATGTGGTATCCAGTGTCACATAACATCTAAACTAAAGATTGTGTATAAAGCCTTGATTTTCCAAATGACTTTCCAAAACTTTCTCTAGTCTTTATATGTAACTACTACAAGCCTAGTGGCCTGTGAGTCCTCACTCTTAATAGTCTCTATTCAACATGCCGAAGAATTTTAAAATGGATTAACATTCACAAACCAGTCACAACTTGAGTAACTCCATTAACAATCAATGTAATCTTGAACTGATATTTTTGTTCCTTCAAAAGCTCACAAGCACAATCCGCGATAATCATTGGGCAGAGAAACGATTATGGTGGAGCCAGACTCACAATGAGTTTCAAAAAGCCCATGCTCTTATAGCTTTCAATGCTTCACAATAGCCACACTCTATCACATCCAAAGCTGAGTGTAGACATCTTCATCGGAGGTTCGATAAAAGCCTCTAATAGGAAATTGCACTTAGAAATTTGTGTTCTGGTGGCTTGCCTGACGCAAATTCTTGCACTTTCAGGGTTCTGTGTCCTCAAAGAATTTCAGGAGAAGGAATCAAATGGTTACAAGAATCAAATGAATAAGTTGAACTCGATACTCATTTTTCAAGTTTGACCTCAAAACCTTGTTCTGAGTTGCTTTGTTGCAAAACAATTTTTAGAATCACAAGAATTTACAAGATGGTGTACAAGGATCTTCCAACGGAATAAATTGCTGAATAGTAGGAATTTGACTACATTTGACGTGGTTAGATGATGGGATTAGAATGAAACTGCGAATATATCAACAACCTTGGCTCGCTGAAAGAGACATCGCGACGTGTGAAAGTCAAATACACGCCAAACCTTCAGACCCACACATATGTCACGAACAGTAGTTGGTTGGTAAGGGAGACGATTTCCCTACGAAAAGGCTTACGTTCAGTGTTTGGGGGCATTGGGCCCAATCTGCCAAATTTGCTTCCACTCGGTATCTGAGATCAGCAGTCAATTTACAGATTCGACTGTCATAGGAGGCGAGTACTGGCTAAGAACGTTTCGTTTCTTTTCCAAACTTCTATATCTGTTTTTCATGTTCCTCTTTTTGTTATAGAAATGTTCTTCCTCTGATCCTACTTGAGTTACATCTATACAACTCGCACCCTACGTCTCGTTACTTACATTCTCATACGATTTCTGCTGCCTCAAGGTAAAATTTCATCAAACAGTGAGAGTCCAGTTGCAAGAAGAGCTCAGTGAAGGAACCAATACCATATATGGATATCACGAACAGAAATTGAAATATGTCATACGTCGGAACAGACAGTCAGATATGTGCTTTCTCGTAACCAACATATACGGACGCACTCTTCACGTCGCTGAGCTCGTGCAACATGTACCCCATTATGAGCAGTGAGCAGATCGTTCGCATCTGAGCGGCGTGAAAGCTGACAAGCGTTCCGGCATTCGAGGTGATAACCATGAAAGAACTCAAGCACATACATACACTCAAGAATTCAAAATCAACCCATAGCTCAGCAGACTCATGACATGCTCCATAATCAGGAAGAGTGTGCGATTGTAAGAGTCAATCCGTACTTTAAGATTCAAACGCTGGTGAAGGATTTATGCTTCACAACTCGAGGCAGGCTGTTCCGACTACGTACTTATTTCCAGCACTATGAACATGGATAGTTATTGATAATGGCCAGACCGTACCATTTATCATCCTAGCGCATAACGCTGGCTAACCTTGTGGTTCCATGAAGAGGACCAACATGATCGGCGAGGGTACGAGGAGGAAGAGCACAAAGCTGAAAAGAGCATAGGGAGGAGTATTAAGATCGTACAAACAAATCAAAACAATGTCCTAACTCAACCGAGAGCCCAGCAGCGCAAATCACCATCACTTTGCACGGCTTCAATATTGAGCACGGTGAGGACATTAAGGAAATACACAGGCCGCCACGGCTTCCAGTTCACGGCAGCTCCGTCGGTCAGGCCCGATCAGATCATACCATTGACTGCTACTCGAGAGCAGGAAGAACTAGCGAGAAGTTCCAGGCCTGATCGGGCCATTCTTTGATGATGTCCAGGGTGCTGAGTTGGTTGCCAAGGTGCGTGGGGCCGTTCAGGAGATAACCTTGGGTTTGAACATTTCGCAGCCGGAAACCACCAGCGTACTCCTTAGAAGGAACGATGATCCAGTACTGTCTCCCATCCTCCACATCCCTCTCGGCCAATTGCAGTGTCTTTAATTTACCATCCGCTTCGCCATAGTCCGCCACATACCCGTGCGACAGCAGGCTCTGGATCATGTAGGCTTGGCCGAATTCTTTCAACTTTTGGTATGGTGGTGCCACGAGCCTAAACTGCTGCTCTAAGAAATTGTTGATCGTGTCTCAAACTCCTAGAAATACTACAAGTGTTCACTCGGAGCTCGCTCGGAGGTTGCACAGTGCAGCGTAGTTCACTCAACACACACACACACACCTGAAATTACAGAAACACAACCCAGAGATAGGTTAGGACCTCTACTTAAGATTTCAGGGGGGAAAGTCTCTCGCGAGTACACTGAGCGAATCTGCGGGTAGTGACTCCCAACTCCTGCTTTTACAACCCTTCCACTGGCTTTCTTCTAGCGTGGGAAACCCGGGTTGGACTTCCTACTTCGGATCGAAGTCACTCACACGCGGTGAACAACACTCTCAACTCACAAAACGCGCAGAGAACACAGGTCCGCACGGAGGGACTCAACTGAGAAACGATCCAATAGCACACCATAACAGTCTATTGAAGAGTTTGAATTCTCAGGCACTTGTCATTCCCAGAAATACTACAGGGGTTACCCTGAAGGCATCTGTTGCAGCGTAACCTGAATTTACAACCAAGGCTTACACGAAGTAGCAAAACTTCACTTTGGCATTCAGGGGAAAAATCCCGAATGAGTACAATCAGAAACAATCACTCGAAAGTCTAAGGGGGAAACTGTTCAAGTATCTAACTCGTAACTGGCTCTGAGCATCGGCAATCACCCGCAGGTGTAGATCCGAACTACTCAAGTCTCTAACCAGCGTACTAGCTTCTGAATATTCGGCCGAAGGCCTTCAGCTACACAATGCGGACCGCCAAGGTGTAGCTCCTCTTGCGTGGTGACAGAACTAAGGACACAAACACGCAGAGAAAATGAGTTCCTGACTGCACTTCCGAAACTGGGAAAAATCCCAAGGCAAGACGCCTTGAACTACTTTATACCTTCTAAGTCCTAACTAACACTACACTGCACTATGCTACGCGCGTGCACAGAACCACGCTACACTACACTCCGCAAAACCCGTGCTTCGCCTTCTGCGCGACAGACTGCCGCGCACTAACTCCCTACCATGCCAGTCCTCCGCTCGACTGCGCAGTCCCAATCGCCGCAACACCGCGGAAACCTCCGTCTCGAGGGTGGCCAGGGTGTCCCGCGACTTCGACAGAAAAGAATCCAGCTTCTTCGCCACTCGCTGCCGGCTCCGACTGACACCTAACAACAACCCCGCTGCACGAAGCTCTAACTCGCGCAGTGTGAGTTTCTCCTGCGCCGCCACTTCCCAGTAGGCGTAGCCCCTGAGACAGTGGGTGACTCGCCTCGCCATCTCTTCCTTCGTGCGATCTGCCTCCCGCCGGCGATCGTCTTCAACTACAACCAACTGCAATTCGGCCTCCGCATGCTGCACTCTCAATTCCCCGCACTCGGATTGCAGTCTGCGGATTAATTCCTCATCCGCCTGCCGTGCGAGCTGACACTGCTCTAACAACCGTGTCTGTCGCACGAGCTCCCCTGACAACATTCGATTTTGAGCCTGCTCAAAATCCAGCTCCTCTACTAACTTCGCCTTCTCCTCGGCAAAATCCTCCAGCTTCTCGTCCTTCGTCCTGTCGAAAGCTTTGTACATCTTCTTAGTGAGGTTGAGGTGACCCCACATGCAATCATACTTCTCCCGCAGATCCTTAAGTTCCTGATCCACTCGGCCCAACAACTTGCTGGTGTGGACTTTAGTGCGGGTTCGCCTCCTCACTAACTCGACGTAGAACCCAGGCTGGCGGGGGTCCGCGTACTTTTCCACTTTGCGATCCAGGTACCTCAACAGAGGTACTACCTGCTCACAGAGCGCCGCCGTCGGCGTGCCTACCATGTCCTGCTCCTCCTCCTCAGTGGATTCCGATCCCGACACTGATTCCGTCGATCCTCCTTCTTCGTCATCCTCCGAATTGAGGATTTCGGTCGCCATTGAATTCGTCGGCAACTGTCCTGTGCGGGGCTGCGAGATGTCTGCGTCCTCTGCCGCCACTGGTGCTCCTGCAGCCTCGCTGCTCCCTGCTAGAATGTCCAAGGCAATGGGTGAATGCGGTCGTGCCGAATTCACATCGCCCGCCTGCCCAACTTTGACTGTAGCCTCATCGCCGCAGGCGTCTACCGCCGAAGGCGGTCGTGCGGAATGTACCTGCGCGGAGTGCAATTGTGCATCGCGCGCACAAATTTCACCCTGCTGACAGTCAATCCGCTCCTCTGTTAGGTCCCGCTACTTCGATCGGTCCCGCTCCACCATTAGGTCCTGC